ACCTGCCCAGGGTCCCAGTGAGCCAGGAAGAAGAAGAGGTCAGCCTGTCTGCCCCGATCTTTCAAAGGTGAAGGAGCTGGTTGTTCCCATTAACCAGTTCTCCATACCTGGCCAGAAAGGGTGTGTCCTTCCGTCTCACCGCCGCCTTGGGTTCCCCCAGCTGTAAGAAGCTGGGTTTTTTTTGACTGGTTCAGTCACTCACACATGTTTAAAAGTCAAACATGTTTCATTGCCACATATTTGGACGATTGGCTCATTTGGGCACTATATAACCAGAGGCTGTGACACACATGCAAAGGCCTCCACTTCACTCCCCCGTGAACATCGAAGGGCAGGAAATACAAACTATGGAGAGTTTCAAAGGACAGAAAGAGTCTGAACAAACTAGCAAGAAAGACCGTTTCTTTCATAGGCTGCGCTCTGGACTCAGTGGATGAGGTGAGAGGAGGGTGCTGTCCAAGCTTACATCCATCATGGACAACACCTTCCACCCTCTGCATCAGACAGCAGAGGAGCTGAGAAGCTCAATTAGTGAAAGACTTTTACACCTCGTTTGTAAAAAGGAGTGCTACCTCAGGTCATTCATCCCTGCTACAACCAGACTCTACAATGCGACACTATAACGGCAATAACTTGTGCAATGTATAATCTGCAAATAATATTTGATACCCTGTGCAATAACCTGTTTCTCTATATTTGAAACCCAGTGCAATAACTATATATAGAAATAGAAATATCCAGCTATATAAATACCAATGTAAACACCCTGTGCAATAACCCTGTATAATGATCCTATTTAAAAAAAGAGTAATGTGGAAACACTGTATATACTATATATATATATATATATATATACATGCACAGTTTTCTTTGGGACGTTCTTCTTCTTTGACTATTTCAGCTGATTCAATGAGTACATATTTCTACTATAAGATCAGTAAAGTCAATCAATCAAATACTCGTTTGGCACCTGCTCAATATAGGTTTTGTGTTGAACCACGAGAGTAGTGCTTTCTATCCATCCCAAAATATTGTTTCGTGGGTTGATGCTGGACCTTTGTGTGTGTATGCTACAATGAAAAAAAGAGCTCATGGCGGCACTAAAACATTTCATATGAACTATGGTGAACCAGTTTATAAAAACTCAACTGAAAGTGTTAAAAGCTGCTGATGAATAATATTTCATTGTATATTCTGGTATGGGAAATCCCCCACAGGCTGGAAAATGCCGAGAACTTTCAGCTGGGATTTGCAGCACTGCCCGGCCGGCGGTATGCTGGAGGTCTGCCTAATTTAGTAGGATCATAATCCTGATGAACTGAATGCACAGATGATGTCTTAAGGTGGATTTTCTTGCTTAAAAACATGTAAAAACTATTTTTCCAATTCATCAAAGTGAATAAAGTCAAGCTGCTCTCTAGCTGGAAGCTACCGAATAGAGCAGATTAACATCAAGAGTGTTAAAGCACCTTGACCAGCGTTTGACGCAGCGTCTAAATTTCGCTGTTTAGACATTTTTGGCACTCAAAGCGCTTTTGGTGTGAACTAAATTACTGGGATCACCTGATTTTTACCAGTTAAACACCAGATTAGACGTTGGTCTTCTTGTTAAAATGACCCAATATTCCTGAAAGAACTGGATAAATTCACCATAAAAAAAACACAGTTTGACAAAAATAGTTTTATTTAAAATTATCATTAACAACCAAGTCAAAATAAAATAACAGCAAATGTAAACAGCTGTGTTCAGTGCAAATGATGGCTGTAAACTTTTCTTCTTTAACAAAAAAAAAAAAAAAACATGACAGGAAAAAAAAAAACAAAAGAAAGAACTCAACTGCAGTCAGGAGGGAAAGTTAAAGGAATATCCGTGGGGATATTTAAGGTCACTGCTTCATTATTACTGAACCTCTGATATTTAAATAATAATCAAGAAAACTGAACTCTAAGTAGATTATATAACAGGAAGTTGATTCATTTTTTTTTAGATTTAGTGTAAAGATCAGCTGGATGGACAGTGTTATTCTAACCAGAAGAACATTCATATACATAAAGAAAAACCCAAAACCAAAAAGGATAAACCATTAAAAAACTAAATGCTCTGCTTAAAAAGTTGCTCTCACTGGAAATAAATTATAACATTCAAGCTGTAATAACTTATCTGGTACATTTTCCTGCATGTGATAAATTTAAGAGAAAAATAATCCATATACAGGATGAAGAATAACGAGTGAATTAATTCAGGTTTCATTTTAAAGCTGCAGTCTATAACATTGAGGAGAGAGCAGACTTCGACTGAAAAATTGAAGAAAAACAGGTTTCACGCCACTCCCCCACCCTCTCTGCTTCACTCAAGCTCCACCCCTCTCACAGCATCTGGGGGGGGTTCAGCGTGTGTGAGCTGTGATTGACACTCCATCAGATGCTCCTCTGGCTGTGATTGGTTGTTTTGACTCGTCCCGAATTATTCTTTCCAGATTGAAATACAGGCAGTAGGCGGTACCAATTGAAGCAGTTTTTTTTCACAGGTTACATATCACATGTACTGCTGTCTGGGCATAGGGACAGTTTTAGCCAATATGACAAAAAAGGGATTTTTAAAAACTTACAGACTTCAGCTTTAAATGACTAAAATGTCTAGCTCAGTTTCATTCAGATCTACTTTTTAGTTTCTATAGCCTAAAAAATAACTAGTTAACAATCGTAATGAAGACACTAATGTACGACGGAGTATTAGGGCCACACATGAAGAGAAAAAATATTTTTGCCATGACAAGATTAAACTCGACATGTCGACTTTAAAGACTTTAAAGTGATAGACAGCGAGTTATCCATGTCCACCTTCACCATCCTGCGGGCTTTATTCCTGAAACAGCGTTCCTACAGCATAATGAAAGTTAAATTCAAGACTTTTTCAGACTTTTTAATGCCACTGGAAATAAAAATTTAAGACCAAATTCACAAGAAACACAAGAAAAACCTGCTTGGGACAACTTAACACAAAGGTTTATTTTAACATAAACCACTGCACTAATGTTTCAAATTTTGAAAAGCTTCCCGTACTGTACAGAAAGAAAGCTAAAAACAAAGAAATGACAGATATATATTTAACAATCATTTAACTGAATTCACAAACTTTGTTTTCGCAAATCAGTATTAAAGCCTCAACATAACCAGTGCTAAGTCTTTTTGCAGCTATTTTTCTTTGTATCGTTTTCTTAGTATGTTTGATTTGGTGATAAGTGGAGGCGTTGCAGAGACAACGGTGGAACAAAACAGAAATGCCGACTGTTTCCTGGTAACTAAATTTTGACGCTTGTGTTTCGCGCTTCGCATGTGTGACTCCACTGCCTTAATTCCCATCGTTCCGAGCTTCAATGAGTTCTTACACAAAATCCACTGAGCCTCATATATGTTCCCTGGTTTTAGCCATGGAGAAAACTCTTGGCTGGAGCCATTTTTGGTTACATTTATACTTGCTAATATTTTCCAGACAAAAAGCAAATGGCGCATCTTCCAAATGTCCCCGCCGCAACAACGGATTTATTGGTTCCGCTATCGGGATGGAACCAATAATGGCGAGCTGTTATTTTTTTTTTTTATATAAAAAAATTGTCAATTTTAATGTTTTATTTAGATTACAAAAATAAATCGTAATAAAAATGATCCTATTTATGAGGTTTTAAAAATTAAGACCTACGAAAGACTGATTTAAGACATTTTAATACCAATTAAGGCCTTAGTTTTATTTTGAAGAATTCAATGCCTTTTAAGACTTTTTAAGGACCCGCGGGAACTCTGTGAAATGTCTGGTGGCTCCATGTCTCTGCTCTGCGGTCAAGTTTCCACCTCTCAGCACAGCAATCTAAATGTCCGAACACTGGTAAAGCACAACTCGCTGCACAGTACGGTCCAGGTCAGCTACCTGACAGCAGATGGACTCCATAACCATGGGCATCCGTTAACACTAGTGTTGCACCGATACCGATACCAGTATCGGATGGGGCCCCGATACTGCCCTAAAATGGTAAGCACCGATACCATTTTGAGAGCCATAAGTTTATACAACTATTGTCACCCACTCCTGGTAGGCAATAAAAAGTTCTACTGGATTCACTTTGTATTAAATTTTTCCTGCTACACAAAGGTAGGCAGCAGCTTGATAAAGCCATGATGGCAATTATTTTACATTACTATGGTATCGGTATCGGCCGATACTGCACAGCCAGGTATCGGGTATCGGTATCGGGGCCAAAAAATGGCATCGGCGCAACACTAGTTAACACTAGCCACATCAGGTGGCGTTGCCAGACTGAGCCCAAAGCTTAGACATGGAGCGACCAGACATTTTAGGAATAAAGCCCGCCGGCTAGGGAAGGAGAACAGACCATAGGATAACCTAATTATAACCTGTAGTGGAAACTGGAAGGTAAGAAATAGACATTTTCTCTGGAGGTTTGTACCCGCTGTGTTAGCCTGTGGCTAAGGGGCCCGGTGCTGCATAAATATGTTCATCCTGATACAGTAGCAGTCATTGAAAATGGTCCTTCCAAGTCAAACAGCAAGGGAATGGCAGCCCACTTCCCTGCAGCTCCCTTTACCTTCCAGCCACTGGAGTGACCCCTCCTTCTCCTGGGCATGCAAATTTTTTTACTCTGACTCCACCTGTTCACTGAATTACAGGGTCTGACCAGGAAATGATGCTTCTCTTTAGATCAAGGGTCTCAAACCGGTTCCAGAAACGGCCGCGTGGCTACAGGTTTTCTTTTCAACCAAGCAATAGCACACCAGACTCCAGTTATCTCATCAACTGAGTGCAATCTACACGATGACTTGATGAGATGACTGGATTCTGGTGTGCTATTGCTTGGTTGGAAAGAAAACCTGCAGCCACACGGCCCTTTCCGGAACCGGTTCGAGACCCCTGCTTTAGATCTAAATGTCGAATGGGTCGAATATGGATCAAGTCGAGAACTGAGCTCTAGCGATGGATGTTTGTCTTTGAGAAAGGGGCGGAGTTGATGATTTAATACCGTCCTACGTAGCTGTTTGTGTCACTGCTTAATGTGTTTTCACACTCTGTCAGTGTTTTGGGCGGTCAGTAGAGCCCAGCTTATAGGCATGGAAATTAAAAACGATTAAAAACTCAAAGCAGCTTCCAAAATATTCTAAAACAATACTTCTTTTTTTCTTTTACCTTTAAATTTTTCACATTTGTAATATAATTATTAATAAAAGTAAGACACAGTTTTGTGAAAGAAGTTTGGTCGACGTTTAACTTCCACTTTAAAAATGACTGAGATTAATTTAAAAGGTGTTGTTTGAGTTTTGTTAGAGAAACATCAGCAGAGCTGAGGATGTCCTGCACATAAAACACTCCCGTCATTTTTACAACTGACAGTTTGAATTTAAATGACCTTTTAGTTTATTTTCTTTGACTGGATAAAGGAGAGATCCAGGAAGGTAAAAAGCTGTCCATCCATTAAAAATCTGAGCGTCCAGACACGCATAGCTCTATTATTTCATTTGAAACTCAGCAGATCTGATTCCTTAGCTGAGAGCTCTCAGCCTGCACTCAATCAGCAGTGGCTTAGCTTACTGAGGATATTCCTTTTAATGGGGGGGTGTGGTCCTAATAGGGGTACAGGTGGGTGACAGGGTAAACTGGGGGGACTCGGATGATGGGGACAACTACTGAGGGCAACCTGGAGGAAAGACCTGAGGAAGAGCCAAAAAAAGAAGCTGAAATGTTGGGATGAAGGGAAGGATGGACTGATTATTGATCAGAAACACCAAAGTGTTGACTTACTGTAAGCAGGGAGGTGGCCTGCAGGGCTGTAGCCATAAGGAGCACCGAAACCTGCAAAACGAAAAAAAACAAAACACATCCTGTTACCATCAGAGAGGTGAACAGTGGTTTAGAAAACAATCTGGTTTCCTCACATCTACAAACAATGCAAACTTGGTTTTGGTCCACTCTATAAAGCCTTAAAACTCTACGCTAATTCTGACATTTTGAACTGAAAAAGCTTCCTGGATGCGAAGCAAAACGTCTTCAAACTTAAGACTTGGATTTGTTTTGTCATCAGATGATATGACCGAAAAAATTTGATTGACAGATGTCAGTTGATATATGACTGGCCAAATTTAGGTGTTCAGGGTGACGTATTACTAAATGGCCAGCATAAAATAACGGGAAAAAAAAAACAAAAAACATTTTTAAAATAGAAACTTTCTAACTTTTGGGACAATATCATCTGATAAAGAGTACATTTATATACATGTTTAAGCAGGAATGATTTTAAATTAAAATATGATTTCTCTACAACTTTAAAGCAGGTGAATCACAGATGCACTTTTAGGTGTGTCTGTGTGGGGGGCGGGAGTAAGTGAGTTTGACCCACCTGGAGGGATGTACCCGTGTGTGGGTGGGGAGCTGATGTACGGGGCTCTGGGGATCACCGGGACCCGTGGAGGTCTGGCAGCGAGGGACGGGATGGTCAGCACCGTGGTTACGTGTCGCTTTGGCTGCACAAACACAAAGATCATGGCTGAATGAGCTTTGCTGCAGGTGAGAAGGGAAACGCTCCACCGTTTAACTCACCGGAGGGTTGAGTCGTTTCTTTTTGCCATTTGTTGATTTGGGTCCAGAGAACAAGCTGTTCAGAGCAGCGAGCGCTGCACTGGCTTTGGCTACTTTCTTATTGGGACCAGTTCCCCGAAACACCTGTTTGTCCACCTCCACCTGCAGCCGCAGCAGAAACATAGTTAAACCAACCCGGCTCCAATTAGCTGCTTGTTTATCTCTCAGCTGGAGATCAGGTGCAGCTTTAGTTGTGACGCACTGCAGAGACCTTTAACCTGAAACCTCCACAGACTGTCCCTGATTCTGCTGGAATAAATGAGCTCTAATTCAGCCGTCTCTGCAGACATCTGAAGTGAAGCTGACATGCAGGAAGCAGCAAGTTTCCCAACATCAAACATGTTCCCTCCCTCATCAATTCCTAATCAGTTGCAGTGAAAGGAGGACAGGAAATCTATAAGTCAGGGTGTGTGTGTCTTTTCATGCCTCTATGATGAAACGTTTGTCGTAGCTGCTTCCACTCTCTGAAATCAGCTCGTACTTCAGGCCGCGCCGCTTCTCGTTCAGCTCCATCACCGGGTTTTTCCCTCCTGCCGTCAGAATCGGACCTGGAGCTCTGGACTGCAGACAGGATGAAAAAAAACTATAAATTCAATAGTTTTCTGTAAACTGGAGCTTCTTACAGACCAATTCAGTCAAACTGAGACCAGCTTTCATTGGTAGCTGGGGGCGGGATCATGGAGAACAGCAGCCAATCAAAATAACCTGAACACCATGTTTAAAAGTCCAGAAATCACATTAAACAAAACCCAATCAGTTGGGTTTTGTTTAATGTTATAAAGTAGTTGTTCATCTCCTAAATCAATAGTTGATTAATCTGATCAATTGATTTAGCTCCATCTGACACTTTATCAATACAATAAAAGAACAGCATCCGTTTGCAGAAATAAAGAATAAAAATGATCTGAGATCCTTAGAAAAAAAAAAAGAATAAAAGAGTTGGAGGATCAAACCATGAACTGATCCGGTTTTTAAGATAACGTGGATCTGACATTTTTAATATGGTGAGTAAAAGCAAACAAGCTGCAAAACGTGGAATGTTTTGGTGGACAGAGACTTTCGATGCTCCCACTGCCGCGCTTTGCTGTGGGGAAGTTTGAAATTGATGTTAGTTTTCTGCAAAGCTTTTTTTTTTTTAAATAAATTGAATCTAATCTGACTAAAGAACCTTTTCCCACATGTTTGAGGTGCCCCCTCTCCTTATATTCCTCAAGAAGCTCTTTAACCTTTTCACTGTAACTTTAAAAAGTCCTTCAGGTTTTTGTTATTTCCTAAACTGGATTTCAATGAACTTAAATCTCCTCTTTAATTAGACCGTTGGTCTTTGACCGTCTGCTGGACCCGTGGTTTTTATGAGGCCGTTTGTTTTCTAATAAACCTCTGATGCCACCGTTTCCACATCACATTAACCCCAATAAAATGAAAGTCTTACATATAGTTTGGGTCTCTAAACTGTAATTAATCAAATGTGAACATTTTCAGGAGCTGTACTCCTTATTGTTCCTGTTGTTCCAGAGATTTGACCAGAGGGATAAACTCAGACAGCTGTTGCCATCTAAACTGACGGGGATTTAATGAATTCATCTACTGCGGCAGAACGTTCCGTCAGTTCATAAATTAACCGTCTAAATATGATGAAGGTGGAGGATGAGGAGGGTTACAACAGTTAGTCTTGAGAATAAAAGTAAAATTGCTGTCTTCTTGTGGATGTTTGCAGTGAGTCATTTCCTCAAAGACACTTTAGATCTTTAGGCGTTTTCCCACCTCCTGTGCCTCCGTGGAGGAGGTGACGGATGTGGAGCTGGAGCTGGTGGACATCCTGTCGTTTTTCCCTTCTCCATCTGACTTCTCATCAGCGCTCAGAGAGTCCAGGTCTCCATCTGAGCCGAGCACATAGCCCAGAGCCTGCAGCGCCTGGTGGAGAACACAGACATCATGTTACTGGAGTAGAAGTTCAATCTGATAGTTCCACAAACTCAGCAAAGTAAGCATCTGCTGTTTTCTCAGCGATTCAGAAGTCTGGTTCTGTCTAACTTGATCAGGATCTGCCTAAACTCTGTGCTTTTCTTCTCCATGTAATTATTTAGATCAGTGAAGGTGAGCTGGAATAAAAAATATCTTCTCAACTGTAAGCATGACTTGTACCTTAAGTGCCACTTGGAGCTTGGCGGTCCTCTTTGAGTTTCCTGAGGCCTGGTAGGTGGTTCCCTGGATCTCCACGGACATGGTGAAGACCGGAGCGTGGACCGGGCCCGACTGACACAGCAGACGGTACTGGAGGCCCGGGTGGATCTGGTTCAGACGCATTAGAGCGTTCATGGGATGGTTGGGGTCAGTCATCCTCCAGTCTAAAACTACAGGAGCAGACATGCAGATGGTCACTGCTGTGGAATGAAAAGGGAACTCCTCCTACCAAATAGTTACTTTTATCATGTGTTGTTCCACGATGGTTGAATGACTGACAAACGGTACCAGAACCAGGCCGCCCTTCGTCCACTTTTAGAAACCCAGTTCTTTCAGATAGCATCTCTAAACCTGTCTGCATCTACCACTCCATCTTTCTTCATTCCCTGGAGTCCATTTCTACATTTTACACTTTTAATGGTCTGCAATCCTTTGATATAGAAGGCTGTAGTGCTTGATTTTAAACTTAAACTGATTCCTACTAATTTCTTGAGAAAAACAAATCTAAGCATTTCTTTATAGTCCAGACTCAGCTATTCCCACCCAAGTGTTTTTTTTCACAGGAAAAAATCCACTAAAACAAAGAAAAAACAAATGATGCAACATGATTCCACAGATAAGGAGCCACAGAAGCGTTTTTCATTATCTAGGAAGAGAAAACAAGCGCATGACAATTCAACACCAACTGTGAGTAAAGAAACAGCTTTCCACATAAAACAACAGGAGGCTCAGCTCCAAAGATTACCACATCAACAATCCATTGGTGGACCGATTCAACATGGCCGCCATACTATCCCAAAGGTCAATAGGTCTGGAGCCCACTTGTGAGATGTTTTCTAAAAACACCAGTCCTCTGATTCTGAACAGTCTCAGCCCACCGAGTTCAGAACCAGCAGAGTTGAGGCGTAGTTCGACTGGTTATAAACAGGCATTAAGTGGGAGAGTTTATGGCTTCCCAGTCTGTTACCCAGCAGAGTAAATATGTGACGTGTCACATGGGTCCCATATTTGGACAGATAAACCCAAAGCAGTGGTGTCTGGCCATAATGCATAGCAGCATTCTTTGCAGCACAGCAGCAGGTCTGGAAAAAGTAGAGTAAAGTAAAAAAATATATATATTTCTCACTTAAATTTCTCTTCATAATAAAAGATGGAAAAGAAGCTTCGTCTCTGTTTTTCAGAGATGGAAATTTAAAATAAAGCAGCATTGATAGTATTCAGGAGAATTTTATTTAAACTTGAGAGATAAGAAACTCTTTGAATCAGTGAGGCGGTTATTCATTATTATTACATGAGAACAGTAGAAAACAGGCTGTTTTTAACCATCTACTGAGAATATTATTCTGTCTGTCTTTAATATCAGGAATCAGAAGTAAATGTTTAATAATTGAAAACATTCCATAAAATAAAGAAGTCCTTCCTAATATCACTGCAGCATCATGTAGTGAGGCAGCTTTAGAAATAGAGGATCTGTGCTTTGACCGTTTTTTGCTCTGTTGAGCCTCTAAGTCGTCATCGGTCCCAGAGGTCTTCACACTCCGGCCCCTGTGTGGTTCCTCCACAAAGGCTCCTAATAACTTTTGCTCTAAATCGTCAAGGACAGATAAGGTTTTTATATATGCATAAAAAAAGGGCAGGTTTTAATTTTTCTAATGAAACGACTGAATATACATTTTAAATGCATCCACTTTTCACATGAGAAACCATGATTGTTGCTAAGAGCTGCTAGCTGAACCATTTTAAACATGTTGATAACAGTTTCAAATTTTTTTGTTTGTTTTTTTAATCACATTAGCTTTGTCCTGAAGTCTGTGACCGAGTCTGAAGACGGAAACATGACCTGAGGAAGAGGATGAAGGTTCTGAAAGGGGGGGGGGTTAATGCACTGACTCTGACTGTGTGAAGGAAGCAGCGGTGAGATAATTGTGCTGCTGCAGCCTGCAGGATTAATCCCTTTCCGTCTCCTGCTTTGAACTGGGAGCAGATGAGAGCTACCGGGGCCGCCCGTCCCAGTGAGGGCCCATTTAATTACTGTGCACCGACAAGCCACATCCGGGGCCCGGGAACTTATAGGCGGCAATAAAAGGGGCCCTCAGAGCTGCAGCTGACCATGATTTTCACCTTTAAATATTGTGCTGATTATTACTAAGCCCCGAACAGGACAAGAGAGACCTGCCTGGGGGCTGATTTAAACACCTTAGCCGATAAACATCTTTATTTATTTTTCAGATGATTTAATGAATCAAACATTCACTTCAATAATTTAAACAGCTCTGATGTAACTGAGGTTGATTAAAGTGGACCTTTATACAGCTCAGAAACGGCACCAGAAGAAACGGTTTATGAGTTCAGCAGAAGACACTACTACAAAGTGAGAAAATCAATAAAGAATTATGTCCACTCAGCTTTATGCAATAAAATGTTATCGCTTTACTGTGATTATGGGGCTCCAGAACGTCCAAGAATGCCTAGAAGGTCTCACTTATGTTGTTTTCTAAGTAGGAGTTGGATACCACATACAGTAGTAGCCTTTCAAAATCTCCCCACTTTCCTTATGGGCCTTTGGTTGGTCCCCTACAATTCCTTTTAAAACATCAATCTTTGTGCTAAAATATTCTGTCATGATTTGTTGAAATTAAGATCTAAATAGAAATGTTATCTCTTGGTCAGACCTTGTAATTTAGTGAAAGGGTGGAGTCAGAGTAAAAAAATATGCACGCCCAGGAGGAGGCCTATGTCTGGTTGTTGGAAAGGATTTTGCTGGGAGTTGCTGGGAAGTGGGCTGCCATTCGGCTGGGAGGGACCATTTCGAATGGCTGCTACTGTAGCTTGGTTAACAGTGGCAGCAGGTGAGTGAGCACACAATGCAGGGAACCTGCATTAGGAACCTCTTCTATTCAGGAGAAAGAAGTGAAGAAGAGACTGAAACCCAGAGAGAAGACGGAGGACAAACGGCAGGAGAGAGAAGTTATCTTTACTGCATCCATTTCTGAATTTTTGAGATATGTGGATAAAAAACATGACACTTACAAGGAGTTGATTATTAACATAAATGTTTAAATATCTTGAACTTAAAAATAATTATTTTTTTTGTCTTTTGTATTTCAGAACCAATTAAAAACTGGCTGTATACAGTCATTTTTCTTTCTTCGGTGTCCTGCTTTAAAAATTTATGTAACTAGATATTTTACCTGAACTACATCCCTATTATTTCCATGTTATGGTTGGGCTGAATTAGGAAATTAATAAAGTTTTTGATGACATTTTAATTTAGACCTGAAACAATTATAATTTTCCATGTTTACAACATTTTTTTGAAGCTTCAGAAAGTAGCTCAGTTTGTTCACTTTAGTCTGGACAGAAATCTAATGAAGCATAAAACTAAAATACTTTTGGTTTATCATAAGAATCAACCCTCCTGCTGGAAATTCATCCAGGAATAACCTGCTGATTGTCTGATGATCTTCCTTTTAGGAGCAGAGTGAAGGAATGAATGGGTTGGTTCAGTGGGATCCACTGAAACCTGCAGACATGAAACTGAATTTCAGGTCCCATTCAGGAAGAGTCTAGTTGTTTTCCCTCCTTTGACAAACATTTGGTGGCGTTTTGCCGCCTGACAGGCTGTTTGGATCCCTGTCACACCGGAGCGTCCTGGTTTCTAAGAAAAGCTCAAAGCCGCAATTCTTTCAGCTCCACTGAGTCACTTTTCCACCTTCTGCACAAAGCCTCCTGAAGATCACCTTGTTTGCTGTCAATGGTCTTTAGAGGCAGCACCCCCCCATCACACACACACCAAACAGCCTTCTGGCTTCACAAAAACCTCAGTCAATACCCACTTATCGGCTGCTATTAGACCCGTCTGCCTCAGAGTAATCTTGTGTTTCTGAGAACCTTCTGGGCTTATTTTCCACATTTTGCCGAATCTAGTTTGATATATTTTCATGAAAATGCTTTAACATAGAACCTTGGAAAAAAAACAAATCCCGCTTTGCTCCTGCTAATGCATGGGGGAACAGAAGGGTCAACAAAATACAAATACAACCATTTCAAATTTAACATTTAAATCCAACAATTACAAATACAGTGTTTTATAATTGGGAATTTTAAATGTGATAATTAAGGAGAATTATAAACTCTGTTCACTAATCCATTAATAAGTACTATAAAACTATTTCTAAATACAGATTATTTTAGGAAGAGCTGCAGCAAAAACCCTGATTAGAATAAAACTAGAACAGAAAACATTCAGACATTATTATGAAGGACAAAGATTCAACTTTCACACAAAAATCCAACATAAACCTATTTTAAACTTTTAAGCGTGTTAGCAACATTAACTCTTTATAGGGGAGGTTACCACTTTTTTTGGTTCATAAGCATACTCCTTGCAAATGGAGTCCCGCCCATCAGTCAGTGAGGTCTAGAAGAACAAGATTGATATCCAACCATTCAGCAGATATTATGTGCACGCCATTTTGACTTTTGCCAATTAGATGAGACCTTGGATGATATGTTACCTACTGTTGAAAAAAGATTAAATAAGTTCAATAAAAAACGTAAAAAGTGAAGTAAAGAAGTTAAAAGCAAATTGAAAAGTTAAAAAGTTAATGAGCCAAGTTAAAAAAGTAATAGTACGGTTTTGTTTTAACAAAAAATGTGTTTCTTTCACTCTGTTATATGATGAATTAATCAAAAACAATCACAATCTTTTGTTTACATATTTTTCCATGAAAATGTAGAAACGTTTTTAAATGTTACAAAAGTTATAAGGTATTGTCCTGTTTTCCCATGACACCGTTGTCTAAAAATGTTGCCTTACAAAGTATTTCACTGATTATTCTATAAAGGCTGAAACCTACTTTATATAATATGAAATAACAGAATTAAACTCCTATTCTGATCCAAGGTTCTACTAGATCCAAGGGGAGAGACCTGGTGGATTTTTATATATATGTCAAAAGTGTTCAAAATTGTTTGAAATTCAAATGGAGTTAGGCCACTTTATGAAGGGAGCTCATAAGTTCTAGAAGATGGCTTCATTTTCACATGGAAGCTGAATCTCGCCCCGCCCCTCTTCTGCCCTTGCATACAGTACTTCAACTGTGCATCCCTGCATTGGGTCCCAGTGCATAGTGCGTCCCACTTCTCCAGTGCTGACTTTGGCCCCGCC